GGGCCCAGCCGCATAGCCTCGTGGCTAAGGGAAATGGACCCCACATGGCTAACCACTACTCGAATCCTGGCCCCAGCGGCTTAGAAAGACAGGCAGGGTGTGTGTGTGCGTGGCTGACATTCCAGGAGGGAGAAATGGAGGAGACAGGCTTGTGGCATGACCACGCCCCACGGGCGGCTGCTTTCTCCATCTCTCTCTGGCAAGGGCATATGCCCTCTGACTATTAAAACAAAATTTGTTTGTTTCTAAAATTTAGAGATTTCTCTTTCACAGTACTCTGTGTTGGCAGGACGGAGAACTTCTGGGAATTTATTCCAGAAAACTGTCTAGGGAAGGTGCCTCTGGCTGTGTGGCGGGCCATGGCCAGCACATCTGTCCTGTCACATCTGCAAGGGCTGAGCCGAGAGCGAGGGACGCCAAAGCAGACAGCCAGACTCATGGGAGACTGTTGAGCCCAGAGGACACCAGAGGCCCAGAGAGGGCTGTCACAGCAGCCAGCTGAGGGTGGAGGCGCAGAGCCCCAGACGGCTGTGCTGCACCCACCGTGCGGGCCCAGTCAGCAGGGGCTCTCACAGGCGGAGCTCTGCAGCAGGCCTGACTATGCCGTGCAGCCACAGAGCCTCGCCCATGTCAAGGGCCCAGTATAAACAACCACGACACCCCAGTATTGCTTTTTCGGAACCCAGCCCTGCCAGTGGGCCGAGGAGCGCAACCTGAAGTGTGGAGCCTGCATTGCTCACAGTGGTCAAATCCCTAGGTTAGAAACGGTCCTGAGAGCAGATTCCAAGCGGTCTGAGGCAGGAGAATAATGGGATGAGGAGGGAATGTCCTGGGAACACATCCCAGGGGGAAGTGCAGGGCCAGGATCGCAAACGCCCCAGCCCGTGGGCATGGGAAGCTGGGTGAACGGGAGGCAGCTGACCCTGAGGTAGCCCCATCCCCATCGGACCCTGGAATGTGGGTTAAAGGGCAACAGACTCTCAGAAAGGATGCTCAGAGGAAAGAAAATACTGGGGAAAAGGCAGGAGTAACTGAAAGCTGATACCACTGAATACAGAGGCCAAAAACAACAAAATATTTCAGATGCTCATGACCGCTCTTAAAAGCAGCCTCGTCTACACTCAAAGAAAAAGCATCGCTGGAGCCTGCAGGAAATAAGGCTGCCCTGGCCGAAGGCTCTCCAGACGGTCTCCAGCAGAAAGATCACCAGGGCCCCAGCAGCCATGCAGCCACGCCGCCACGCCGGGTTTATAAATAACCCACAGAGGCCACGCTGAGCTCTCCGCCTTCCAGAGTCGTGCAACGCCCTTGGTAGAAGATGCAGTGGGCTTGGTTTTACAGTAGGACTTCCTGGCCACTGCTACCTAGGCGTCCTGCAGCTCCAACCTTCGCCTTCAACCTGACTGTGCTGACCAGAGGTACGGGCACAGGAGGAGACAGAAAATAAGCTCCACCGTTTCCCCTCTCTAGGGGCCTCTAGTGACACGCCGGGGGACGTGCGAGTGGTCTCGGGTGTGTCGAGGGCATGTGCTCATTTCTGTTATTTACAGAAGGAGGAGGCCCGGGTGTGGCAGGAGGATGTGCAGGTGACAACAATCAGCATTTCCTTTAGGTGTGATTTATTTTATTCGTGAGCGAGAACACATGTACACATGAGCGAGGGAGGCGTGTTCTCTGCAGGAGCTGGTCAGGCCCCCAGCTGGGATCCAGGGTGTATGGCTGGCTGGTTTCAGGTCCGCTGGGCTGAGACCTGAGCCTGAAGAAGACCAGGCAGCTTCCAACACCACAGTTCAACAGCCTACAGACAGGGCCACAGAGGCATGCCTGGCCATCAGCGCTTTTTGTGAAACTTTCTCAAAGAGATGGCCATTAAAAAGGGTCTGCTGAGTTCAGTCACCCAGCCACGTGGCAGTGACGTGAAGTGCATGGTGTTCGTCAGATGACCTGGAAGCAAATGAGGGCAAGCCACTGGACACTTCTGGGCCTATTTCCTCATTTGCAAAATGGGGATAATCACTTTATCTACGTCAAAGATTGCCAAAAACTTCAATAAAATAATGTATAAGAAGTGCGTACCAGGGGACTGGTGAAGCACGAGTCAACGTGACCGCCGTAAACACTGAGGTGTGTGTGCGTGACGTGCCTGGCCAGGAGCGCATGGTCACCGTCACCCCGCCAAGGCGCCCTAACACAGGACTGGCAGCGCGGGCCCTCGGCCCCCCTCAGACGGCAGTGAGCAAACCTCAGGGGCCGGCTGACACTGGCCCCCTCTCACAGGGAAAGGGTGGTGCCGAAGCCCTTCCTTGTCCTCTACCCAAGTACCAGCACAGTTCAAATCTCCAAAAATTCTCCAAGAGGCACCGAAAGATAAAAATAAAAATAAAAAATAAATGAAAAAAAAAAAAATTCCGAGCAGGCTCTGCCTCGGCCAGGCCACCCAGCAAGCCTGCAGGACGCACAGGGCTCCCAGGTTCCAGGAAAGGACCATGGAGCTGCCTCTATCCCTCCCACTGGGGAACCCCGACAGACAGAGCTACTTTCGCACCGGTGGCCTCGTGAGTCCCAGCCGTGGGATGGCCAGTCCTGGCCCTTGCAGGTTAACTGTGCATCTGTCAGGAGCACGAGGACAAGGGAACCTGGTTCCCACCACGTCTCCCTCAGCGGGCCTGGATGGGAGCAGGTACACATGGCCCAGTCGGCTGGACCACTGCAGTGGAAGAGCCCCCTCTGGCCCGACCGAGTCTCAGCTGGGAGGGGGGCCAGGGTAGGGAAGGGACTCACAGAAGGAAGCTGAGTTATGAGGCCTAAAACTTTGGAAGGGCTTAACAGAAGGAGGAATAAAGGTCAACAGGGTCTCGCAGTGGCCAAGGCGCTGCACCAAACCCAGGCCTCCTCAGACGTCCCTCCCAGCTCCTGCAGCCTGTGCGACTCCCTGCCTCAGCCATGGCCGACACTGGGCAGGGCCGACTCCTCTCTCCCCATAGGCTGCCCCACTATAATATTTGCTCTGCTTCCTTCCTCGCCAAAGCCCGACAGATAAGCCTGCTGAGTCCTGTCCAGCTCCTAAGAGATGGGAAACTGAAAGTAAGGCAACCCAAACGCTCGTGGAGAGGAGGAGGAGGCAGAACGGCCTGTGCACCAGCACCCAGTTCCTCTTTCCCAAGCCCCACAGCAACATGGGCCAGAATAAGCAGAGCCAGCGCGGTTTCAATGAATCAGAAGGGGCGTTTACTGCACTGTGGTCTGCAGCAAGACGGGATCTGAGTCACCCAGTCTCAGCGGGGGCATCACCCACCTGTACCTGCCCCACCGCGAGGGCAGGGAATCCGTGCAGTCCGGCTGAGCACACCACGAGGACTGTGCCCGCTGCCCAGCACTTCCACAAACACCTGCAAGCCCACGGGGGGTGGGAGCTGGTCTGACCTGGGGCTTGCCTAGCGGACAAGTCTGACGCTTCTCCCTTCCCACTTGGGCACAAGCTCTCCAAGGCTGGCACCAACAAAACCTGAACGTCTTTAGGGTTCATTTTCATCTCAGTGAACTACCAAGCTCAAGGCATCACACTCAGGGCATGGTGATGTGAGGCCTACTCCCTCACACCGAGGAGAGGAGAGCACCCGTGATGAGGCAAGGGATTTGCACAATCTCTCCACCGAAGGGCAGGCAGCTCCCAAGTGAGTACCCATCTGTGAAGTGGGCAAGGCTCCCTTTACCTGCAGCTGAACGTGCACCAGGAGTGCCACCGATGGTTTGTAGGAAGTAGGTTTACAAACAGGGCCAGAAGATACTGGGGTCTATAGGCACCATCCAGAGTAACCCAGGGAGCTGCTCGGTGGGCCAGATCCCACAGGGGAGGGTGCTGCTGTGTGCTCCTTCCTCTCCCTTTGGCAAGTGCAAATGCTCAGGAGTGTGCATGCACTCCTCCACTCCACATTCACTCAGTGTCACACAAGGGGCTGGCCAGTCTAGACCACAAGCGAGGCCTCTGCTATGGAGAGTCCTCTGCCTGCGGTGGGGAGGTCAAGAGCTGCGTCAAGGCCTCCTCCGGTTTCTCCCACTCTGCTCTGGGCGCTCAGACGCTCCCGACATACAGTGTGTTCCTGTCACAGCCTGGCATGTCCCGATTAGCCAATAAATGACAACTGAATGCAACTGATTCAAAATGACAACCTCTATGCTCTCAAGATCTGCTTTGCTGTTGTGGGAGGCTTTGCCACTAGAAAGACAACGAAGCAGAAAGGATCAAGGGACTAGGTCAGATACAGCAGGGCCACAGCAGTTCGGTTCTGGGACTCTAACCCCAAGCACAATCCACCCACTGGTCTGAGGTGCCCCCAAGAGGCATCACTGGGAGCAGGCTTTTCTCCTCCCTCTTCTCTGATGTTTACTGTCCTCTGAAAAAGCCATTTGGTGTCCTAAAGTAAGACAGGAGGGAGGCAGAAGCCCAGTTAGAAGGGGAAGATCAGCCAGACCCACTCACCAAGAAGGAAGGACGCCTAACCTGCAGGCCAGGGCTGGGGGCAGGGCTGGCCTGGGAGGGGAAGAAGCAGGACCTCAGGCTGGGGCCGGGGCTGGGGCTGGGGCTGGGGCTGGGGCTGGCCCTGCCTCCCCGCCTTCTCTCTAGATTCCCAGGGACACTTTTTCTTCTCTCCTCAGCCGGATCTCTTTTTTTCCTTTCCTTTCCTTTTTCGTTCGTTCTTTCTTCTGAAAATTTTGATGCAAGTCTTCTGAACAGAGCAGAAAAGGGAAGCGTGTAGGGTGAGGAAGAAGCGGGTGACAGAGAGAAGACAGCACTCCACTGGGGGGCTTACCTAACCAGGCACCGAACCTACACTCCAAGTCACCTCCACTGCCTGGAGTTCCAGGGCCCCCAAGGCCAGGCTGGACCCACAGGAAAGGATGGGGTCTTCCCCGGGGGCATTCCAAGCCTGCCAAGTGATAAGGCCGTGGGGGAAGAGAGAAAGGAGTTCCTCTGCCGGATCCGTGCCCAAGGGACTTGCCTGGGGCGTCCTCTGCTCTCCTCCCCTCCCCGCGCCCGGCAGTCGTCGCGGGCCGGTGCCCCGGCGCCAGAACCAGCAGAGAAGTTTCGCCGCTGCAAACGTGAGAAAATGCAGCTCAGCAGATCACCGGCCGCAGCCCTCCGCGCGGCGCCACCCCCGCGGCCCGACCCCTGGCGGCGGCGACCTTGGTCACCCGGACGCTCCGGGGCACTGGAGGAGGGGCTGCCCTCGGGCTTTCCGGGGCCCCAGGGAGGCCGCGGCCACCTCGCCGTCGCAGTCAGCCACCAGGACAGGCGCCCGCGGCCCTCTGCGCCTGGCCCCGGCCCGGGCTTCCCCTGCACCCCAGCCCCCTCCGGGCCCCGCGCTCCCCCTGCGCCCCTCAGCTGCAGAGCCGCGAGGGCGCCCAACTTACCCGCCGTGCAGGGGCCGGGCTCGGGCAGGCTGGGTTACATGGGGTAGCAGTCGCCCTGCGCCGGCCCGTGGCTCTCGGGGATCCCTCTATCTCGCCGCCAAACTCTCCGCGCCTCTCGCTCCTCTCGCCCCCTCCCCACCCCTCCTCCTCTCCTGTCTCTCGGCTCTTTTTTCCTGGTTAATTACGTTTCGCATTAAAGCAAAACCCAGCCCCGGATGTGAGTACAATGCTCCGCGGAGCCCGCCGGGGGAGGACAGGGGTGCCGGGGGCCCGGGAGGCTGCCTGGAGGCGCGGGCCCAGACCACCTCGCCCGCGGTCCGAAGCCGCGCAGGTGGGACTCGGAGCGAAGAGACAGCCCGGAGACGGAGGCCCCGCCCCGGACGCCGCGCCCCGGGGCAGCAGGTGTCTGGGCTGGGGGCGTCCCTAAAGGAGGAAGGCGAGCGCGAGCTTTAACCCACTTCTTCCTAAAGCCCCAACCAATGACTGCGGCCGGCCCTCCCTGGGCCTTCCCGGGCCTAGGAGTTGGGTTTAGGGTCCGGGTCCAAGGAGGGGTGCATCGGAGACGGAGGCCCCGCCCCGGACGCCGCGCCCCGGGGCAGCAGGTGTCTGGGCTGGGGGCGTCCCTAAAGGAGGAAGGCGAGCGCGAGCTTTAACCCACTTCTTCCTAAAGCCCCAACCAATGACTGCGGCCGGCCCTCCCTGGGCCTTCCCGGGCCTAGGAGTTGGGTTTAGGGTCCGGGTCCAAGGAGGGGTGCATTCTTCCGGGTTGCCGGCAGTGCATCTCGGAGCCCCAGGGGCCGTCATGCTCTAACGCGGGTAATGGGGACTTTTGCGGACTGTGGGCAAGACGCTCCTCCAGCCCGGAGCCGAGGGTGCCCTGCAAGGAGCGGGAACAGACGAGCAGAGCGGAGTGGACCTTGCCAAGGGCACTCGGCCTCGCGTGCGGGAGCGGCCCCGTGCCGTCTCCCTAAATTCACACGCAACCCACGGCTCTCGCTCCCACTCACGATGAGGAAACCGCGACCCAGACGTGAAGTAACTCCCCTGGGTCCACACTGAGTAAACGACAGGTCTGGCGAGTCCGGACGCCGGCCTCCCACGTGGGCAGAGGGGCGGGTAAATACCCATCAAGTCCAGCCCCGACCTCGGGAACCCTGTCGTGGATTCGCCCTGGCAAGGAGGACCCTGAGACCCCCAGAATTCGGGAGATTCTGATGCCAATATGGTTAGTAAGGCGAGAATCCTAGGAGCTTCCAGAAGACGAGGGCATCAGATCGCGGACCAGAGCACGGTTTGCGCGAGTGAAGGAAAGGCTGATCCTCCCAGAATTGCCAGGGAAGACAGGACCGAGGCCCAAAGCTTGGGTTAGAGGGAGCTGGATCGGGAGAGCCAGGAGGCAGAGGACCCGCAGCACACACCCGGAAAGCACCGCGATGAAACCACACGGTTCCTCCTCCATCCTGGTTGCCAGAGGGACAAGGAGCCACCCCGCTCGCCCAGGTGCAGAAGAGGCTGTTTGCTTCAGAGCCATTTGCTTTGAATGAGAAAGGAAAGGGGAACACAGGAAAAGAAAAGGAAAAAAAAAAAAAACACCTTGTAAATTCATCAAGGGCAATTTTCTTTTTCTGTTCAGGGTTTTGGCCCGGGAAAGTTTCAGGCAGCACAGCGAGTTGAAGAGCCTCTGCTCCGGAACCTAACAGCCTGGGTTGGAATCCGGTTGTGGCCGCTCAGCAGCCTCCGCCCCTAGGAGGTCTGCGACTTCCCTGTCCTCCGCCTCTAACCTGGGTCTCTATGCGGGTGGATGCCCCGCAGGTATTTGCAAACTCATCCGAAGATCCCCCGTGGAGAGGAAAGCGCATGTAAATCATTTCTTTTTCTTTTTTAGAAAACTACGTGATGCGATTTCGTTTTAACGTGAAAAGGAACATCATCCCACCATCCAAGCAAATGCAACTGGACTGATGGTCTCTCATATGGGCAATGAGGTTAAAGACTCAGATTTCATGGTATGGTTCATATTAAACCCATAAAACTGACTCCCGTGGGGCCTGCCTGAGTCACTCAGTCACAGACCGCAAGTATTTCCCGAGCACTGCTGTGCTGAGTGGCTGGAGGACGAAAAGGAGCGAAAGCCTGGTCCCCTCGGAGGCCACGGGTAGCCCTGGAAGCTGAGGCTGCCGTGGACACCGACCACCAACCGCACACAGCCTTTAGGAGAGCAAGTCGCGTCTCTGTGTGCGGGGCAGGGGCAATGAGGTGGGCTGACACCTTGACTCCAGCAAGGACATGCACTGAGGGAGGGCCACCTGTCACTGAGGTCCCCGTTGACGGTCACACTGGCGGTCACCTGGTCAGCACCTGGCCGTAGTCAGAGGGCAGTTTCTGCACCGATGTCCGCCCCTTACCCCTGGATTTCCCAGGGCTTCCTCAGAGGACCGGCTACCTCCCCGTTGACAGGCATCTCGGGGCAGCCCTGAGCCCGTCTGCGCCCTCCTGTCCTCCCATCGCTGCCTCTCTGCGTCGTGGTAGAATGCGTGTAGCACACATGCCACGTTCTCACCATCTTGAAATATCTGTGCAGTAGCATTGAGTGCGTTCACAGCGGGACGCAACCACGGCCTAGTTCCCAACCACTTTCATGACTCCCAAGGGCGACCACAGGCCCGGGAGGCAGACACTCCCCATTCCTGTCTCCCAGGCCCTGGAAACCTCCGAGCTGCATACCGTCTCGTCACGGGTTGGCCTGTTGGATACTCCACACGTGTGGAGTCAGACAATATGTGGCCTCTGGCTCCTTACTCTTGTATTTGCCATGGCTGATACATTTGAAAAGTATTTCTATGGCCTGGTTTTATGCATTGATTTTTTTTTTCAGTGCAATAAACAGCCCTTTTCTACCTGTGGGGAAAAGAACGTCCACGAAAAGGCCTTTCACATCAGCTACGCAGTCCCTCACTGTACCTCTGGAAACGAGCTTCAACCATTTGCTCAAGTCAGTGTTAGTCCCAATTTGCACCTAGTTAGTGACAGTCAGACTCTAGAGCCAGGACTGACTCCCCGCAGAACCATCCAGTATTGGGACAGGAACCTTTCCTTGAAGGTGAGAACTCCTGACGCAGAACCTAAGACTAAACAGAAAGCCCTTCGCCTTAGCCACTACCTTATGCAATTTCTGTTCATATCTGATGTCCAGTACTGGTTAGGGAGCTGACCTAATAACCTTCAGTGTTGAGCCACTGCTCCCTCCAGGGAATTGGATTGTTCCCCGTCCTCAGAAAGCCCCATTATATAAGGTACCCCCTGCAGCTGGGGCCAGTTATTCTATTGGGGAAAGCGCAGGACCAAAGAGGCCAAGGTCATTGGTTTGATCCTGGTCCAGGCCGGTTCACTTGCCATAGAGATAAATGGCTCCCAGGCCACACATTGTACCTCGGGCATTCGCTGTTAATTTTAGAGTAACCGTGAGTTTCAGCAGCAACCATGAACGGTTCTGCACCATCCACTTCTAGAAAGATCACTCAAACTACCGCTGTTTTATTCAGTCCTGTTCATTCAACCTATTACCATTTTTCTTCCCAAATATCTTACTTTTAAGCACTTATTTTCCAGGTACTTACTAAATGCTAACTGCTTTTCATGCCTTACCTTTTTGAGCCAGTATGAAGGAGACATTAGGACCAAGGCGCGATTTTCCCCCCTTTTTCCGGTGACAACGGGACTGAGGCATGGACATATACAAGCCGGCAGCCTGGTGGCAGAGGCCACCTTCTCACTCAAGCTCTCTGGTAGATGCAGTGTTAAGTCTTGGGAAGGATGCAGAAAGTCAGAAAACAAGACTCTTCCCCTCCACATCTTTGACAGTTACCATGCTTTAGAGTCTCCATTCCATTTCGCCCAGCAATCCCACAGCCGAGAATATGTCCTACAGAGAGTGGTTCGCAGATACAGACACGGATACAGAAGGGTGTGTGCACGCGCAGGCATGTGTGTGTACACTGCAGCGCTGTTCATGATGGTGGGAACTGGAACTCTCGGCTCACCAACAAGGCATTGCACAAGTGAGCATCAGTAATCCATGCAATCTTCTTCTGTGCCATTGTTAAAAAAGAATGAACAGGTAGGGACCGGCAGGTGGCATGGTGGGTAAGGGCACTGGATCCCCACATGGCTGACTGCGGTCTGGGTCCTGGACCGGGCAGCTTACTTTCTCACTTTCCCTTTCTCTCTCTCTGTCTCTCTCTAGTCAAATTAAAAAATAATCATGACAAATGAAATTGAATAAAAAATTATTTTCTTAAAGAATGAATAGGTAGCTATGAAAAATACTGCTTTCAGCCAAAAGAGGAAAAAAGGTACAGAGCTGCACGTATAATTCTATTTCTGTAAGTAAACTTGTATTTATATGTTTTTACATGTACGTGTGTTACACAAAAAGGGTCTAGAAAAATACATTTCAGATCGTAACCACAGTTCTTTTAGGGCAGGGGAGGAAGGGTAGTAGTGGTAGGCTTTATTTTCTAAATGGCATAGTCTATAATGTTTAGGTTTTGGGCAACACGTGTGCATGTATTTGGTTATCAAAACAAGAACAGTTAAATGTTTTAATAAAATGTAAAAGTTCTATGGGAAGGAAACCATCATGCAGCTGTCAAGTAGCACACCCTTTAGCTGGGGGGAAATATAGCACATGCAGAAATGATTGTCATCAAAGCCAGAAGCTGATCCATGAAAAGAGGAGAGAGAAAATTCTCTGGGATGATATTCACCAGCTGCAGGTGAGAGGGCAGGAGGTGTATAAAAGAGATTGCTCTTTTTTTCTTGAAAGGTTTTGGCCACGAGGCACAGAGAAAGACAGTGAGAGGGAAAGTGGGAAATCACTCCTTGGGGGGATGGCCACACTATAATCCCTTCTCCTCCTGGGATTCTGGGCATGCGCACACATGCACCTGGCATCTAGCACTCAAACTCCTGTCAGCCCTGTGGTAGTCCAGCGTCTTAACCACTGTACTGCCTGCTGGCCCCAGAGGAGCTGGCTCTTTGACAGTGACAGGTATTCAGGGGCCCAGACAATGGTCCAATCATGAGGGTGACTCTCCACAAGGCCGAGCCACATGGGAAGGCTCCAGGTTTGCTTTTGGAAACCGCTCTGAGTACAGCAGGCAGACACATGTCAGTGGCTGGGGGTGGCTGAGTCTGGAGTGCAGTGCAGTGTGAAGACCTTGCTGGGGGTGCTGTCTTTCTGGTTCTCTTTCTCTCTTTTATG